CATATTGTAGACCGACCCCCATAGATCACACGGGGTGGAAGGATTCTCTAAGACATGTGCAGTGGCGGGATGACGAGGTCCTGGCATGGCCGCCCTCTCCAGCTGGGCCCCACCTGGCACACAACAGCTGACATCATCACCCGCCGCTGTCTGTTGGCACCGACATCTACAATGACTCAACGTCCTGAACGGTGTCACCGGCCCCCCATCTGTTCTCCTCCAGGAAGTGTGACACATAGAATGTCCTCAGCTTGTCACCGAACTTCACATCGACTTAAATCTCTCTCCTAAATATAATCTACAACCAGACGGATCGCCCAGATATTTATATCCCGACAACAAAACAACGACAACCAGAGATTTCATCTCATGTGACAATCACTCTGCAACCAAAATAAACCATTAAGAGGAAATCCACGTCAGAGCGCCATTGTCCTCATCTGCGCAATATTCGCATTTCCCCTCGGAGATGGAAGATCTACAGGCAGAGTATTCAACAGCAGCAGAAAGTCCTTTCCCCTTCATTTCCCTTTTCCTTTCCTTTCCCCTTCATTTCCCTTTTTCTTTTTTTTTCTTTTTCCTCTCCTTTCCTTTTCCCTTTTTTTCTGTTTTCACTTTCCCCTTCATTTCCTTTTTCCTTTCCCTTCCTCTTTCTTTCCTATCCCTTTCCTTTCCTTTCCTTTCCTTTCCATTCCTTTCCTCTCCCTTTCCTTTCCTCTCCCTTTCCTTTCCTCTCCCTTTCCTTTCCTATCCCTTTCCTTTCCATTCCTTCCCTTTCCTTTCCTTTTCTCCTTCCCTTTCCTCCTCCCTTTCCTTCCTCTCCCTTTCCTTTCCTTTCCCTTCCTCTCCCTTTCCTCTCCCTTTCCTTTCCTCTCCCTTTCCTTTCCTTTCCTTCCCTCTCCCTTTCCCTTTCCTTTCTGTTTCCTTTTCTTCCCTCTCCCTTTCATTCTTCTCCATTTCCTTTCCCTTCCTCTCCCTTTCCTTTCCTTTCCCTTCCTCTCCCTTTCCTCTCCCTTTCTTTCCCTCTCCCTTCCCTTTCCTTTCCTCCCCCTTTCCTCCCCCTTTACTTTCCTTTCCTCCCCCTTTCCTCTCCCTTTCCTTTCCTTTCCTCCCCCCTCCCCCTCCCCCCCCGTGTAATAAACAATCTCTTGTCATTTCTCTGTCTGATGTCAGGTTGTATCGATGAACATTCTCCGGGGATCTTCCCGTCTGATGGCAGCCATTGATCTTCCGGGGCCATTCCAGGCTTCTACATGAATGAGTGGACGGCTCGGGAAGTCCGGCTTTTCTAATTGGTGGAAAGACTCCGCAAATCACAACATTCGGGAGATTATTATTATACAGGATTTATATGGCGGCAGAAGGTTTGCTCAGCTCTGTACATTATAGGGGGGACAGAACATGAGACAATACAATACACGAGGGGGCGAGGGCCCTGATCCTGAGAGCTTACAATCTAGGAGGGAGGGGCTGATCCTGGGAGTTTACAATCTAAGAGGGAGGGCCTGATCCTGGGAGCTGACAATCTAAGAGGGAGGGCCTGATCCTGGGAGCTTACAATCTAGGAGGGAGGGCTGATCCTGGGAGCTTACAATCTAGGAGGGAGGCCCTGATCCTGGGAGCTTACAATCTAGGAGGGAGGGGCTGATCCTGGGAGCTTACAATCTAAGAGGGAGGGCCTGATCCTGGGAGCTGACAATCTAAGAGGGAGGGCCTGATCCTGGGAGCTTACAATCTAGGAGGGAGGGGCTGATCCTGGGAGCTTACAATCTAGGAGGGAGGGCCCTGATCCTGGGAGTTTACAATCTAGGAGGGAGGGGCTGATCCTGGGAGCTCACAATCTAGGAGGGGAGGGGCCGATCCTGGGAGCTTACAATCTAGGAAGGAGGGCCTGATCCTGGGAGCTTACAATCTAAGAGGGCGGGGGCTGATCCTGGGAGCTTACAATCTAGGAGGGAGGGGCTGATCCTGGGAGCTTACAATCTAGGAGGGAGGGGCCGATCCTGGGAGCTTACAATCTAGGAAGGAGGGCCTGATCCTGGGAGTTTACAATCTAAGAGGGAGGGGGCTGATCCTGGGAGCTTACAATCTAGGAGGGAGGGGCTGATCCTGGGAGTTTACAATCTAGGAGGGAGGGGCTGATCCTGGGAGCTTACAATCTAGGAGGGAGGGGGCCGATCCTGGGAGCTTACAATCTAGGAAGGAGGGCCTGATCCTGGGAGCTTACAATCTAAGAGGGAGGGGCTGATCCTGGGAGTTTACAATCTAGGAGGGAGGGGCTGATCCTGGGAGCTTACAATCTAGGAGGGAGGGGAGATGATTTACTAAAGGCAAACAGACGGCTCACCGTGAGGGGGAAATGTTCCTTTCACTCAGTGAATGGGGAGAAAATCCGCTTTGCAAAGAATACCCAATCACCTGCAAGGAACATGAGAACAAAAGTATTTTTGCTCGAATGTGATTGGATGATGGAGGAGAAGAGATTCACCCAACTCACTAAACTGCGGGAAAAATTCCCTACAAAGTGCACAAAATGTTCGACTTCAGCGAATCATCCCCTCCTGAGGTGCCACTAGAATATCTGCGTACTTCATGTCTCCATGTTGGGTGGGTGCAATGCTTGGCAGAAAAGCTGACGATCCACATTGGATGTCATCCCTATTCCTGTGTATTGGTTGGGATGGAACTCTCTGCTGCAGACTGTGTGATCCGAGCGCAACTCGGCCGTGGCCTTCAGAGGAGCAGCTCAGTGCCGGGGAGGATGGGACTTTAATATGGGGATTGTATAGAGGGAGATTGAAACAACCATCCACAGGTGATCACACTGCCACACCGCCACAGACCGACACCGCCACACACGCCACACTGCCACACCGCCACACTGCCACACCGCCACAGACCGACACCGCCACACTGTCACAGAGCGACACCGCCACACTGCCACAGACCGACACCGCCACACTGTCACAGAGCGACACCGCCACACTGCCACACCGCCACACTGCCACACTGTCACAGACCGACGACACCTGCCACACTGTCACAGAGCAACTCCGCAACACTGCCACAACGCGACACTGCCACACCGCCACACTGCCACACTGCCACACCGTCACAGAGCAACTCCGCAACACTGCCACAACGCCACACCGCGACACTGCCACACCGCCACACTGCGACACCGCCAAACTCTCACATAGCGACACCGCCACACTGTCACAGAGCGACACTGCCACACTGCCACACAGCCACACTGCCACACCGCCACATGCCACAGAGCGACACAGCCACACTGTCAGAGTGACACCACCACACTGCCACAGAGCGATACCGCCACACTGCCACACCGTCACAGAGCAACAACTCCGCGACACTGCCACACCGCCACAGAGCGACACCGTCACACTGTCACAGAGCGACACCGCCACACGCCACAGAGCGACACCGCCACACTGTCCAGAGCGACACTGCCACACAGCCACACCGCCACACCACCACATGCCACAGAGCGACACCGCCACACTGCCACAGAGCGATACCGCCACACTGCCACACCGTCACAGAGCAACTCCGCGACACTGCCACACCGCCACAGAGCGACACCGCCACACTGTGACACCGCCACACTGCGACACCGCCATACTGCCACAGAGCGACACCTCCACACTGCCACAGAGCGACACACTCCACACTGCCACACCGCACCGAGCAACACACCACACCACACTGCCACACACGCCACACTGCCACCGAGCGACACACCACCACACTGCCACACCGCCACACCATCACAGAGCAACTCCGCAACACTGCCACAACGCGACACTGCCACAGAGCGGACACACCGCCACACTGCCACAGAGCGACACCGCCACAGAGCGACATTGCCACATCGCCAAACTGCCACACCACCACAGAGCGACACTGCTACAGAGTGACCCCGCCACAGAGTGACCCCCAACACTGCCAAACTGCCACACCACCACAGAGCGACAGCGCTACAGAGTGACCCCCCCCACAGAGAGACACTGGCACAAAGTGACCCACCACAGGGTGACCCCGCCACAGAGAGGACACTGGCACACTGCTGGTTTTCTGAACTCTACAAGGCATGTATTTAATATTTTACAGACATGAGAATAAAAGAAAAGAAAAACTAATCAGATGAAATACAACCCTGATGGAGCGCAGAGCCGGCTGAGTCCATCATGTGGAGTCGGCCTGGAAGGTGTCACTAGAACTCCTCTGTGATGAATAAATGATAATCCAGAGAAGGGAGGAGGAGGCGGGTTCTCGTGTTCCGCCATAAACTAACCAGACTGATAGATTGTGATTGGAATGTTCAATCTGTATCCATGGATCTCATTGAACATTTATAGGATGCGTCCCCTGAGATCTGGAGACGTCACACAATATACAATCCATTATACCGAAGGAACGGACACATCAGTGCTCATCCCCCCCCCCCCAGTGAGCAGACCCCCCCCCCCGAGCAGATCCCCCCCCCCCCCGAGCAGATCCCCCCCCCCCGAGCAGATCCCCACAGATCGAACTTTCACTGTTTATAAATGAAATAAGTCATCAGAGAATCTCATCTTAGAGGATCTCATTTTTATTTTTTATAAAATCCTATTTTCACCTTTTTCTGCCTCAGTACTGCTGATCTCCTGCAGCCTCTTATAGCAATTTCCTGTCCGCATGCATTGGCTGCATATCAATGCCCTGGGCTGGCTTCCTGATAGTGCCAATGGGGGAACATTGTGAGAAGCTCACAGTGTGCAGAGGAATCAGAGGAAGCCGTTCCAGTCCAGGGGAGGAGCCGGGACACCTGTGCAAGACTGAAGGGGAGGAGCCGGGACACCTGTGCAAGACTGAAGGGGAGGAGCCGGTACACCTGTGCAAGACTGAAGGGGAGGAGCCGGTACACCTATGCAAGACTGAGGGGAGGAGCCGGTACACCTGTGCAAGACTAAAGGGGAGGAGCCGGAACACCTGTGCAAGACTGAAGGGAAGGAGCCGGTACACCTGTGCAAGACTGGAGGGGAGGAGCCGGTACACCTGTGCAAGACTGAAGGGAGGAGCTGGTACACCTGTACAAGACTGAAGGGGAGGAGCCGTACACCTGTGCAAGACTGAAGGGGAGGAGCTGGTACACCTGTACAAGACTGAAGGGGAGGAGCCAGTACACCTGTGCAAGACTGAAGGGAGGAGCCGGTACACCTGTACAAGACTGAAGGGGAGGAGCCGGTACACCTGTGCAAGACTGAATGGGAGGAGGCGGTACACCTGTGCAAGACTGAAAGGGAGGAGCCTACACCTATGCAAGACTGAGGGGAGGAGCCAGGTACACCTGTGCAAGACTGAAGGGGAGGAGCTGATACACCTGTGCAAGACTAAAGGGGAGGAGCCGGAACACCTGTGCAAGACTGAAGGGAGGAGGAGCGGTACACCTGTACAAGACTGAAGGGGAGGAGCCGGTACACCTGTGCAGGACTGAATGGGAGGAGGCGGTACACCTGTGCAAGACTGAAGGGGAGGAGCCGGAACACCTGTACAAGACTGAAGGGGAGGAGCCGGTACACCTGTGCAAGACTGAAAGGGAGGAGCCGGTACACCTGTGCAAGACTGAAGGGGAGGAGGCGGAACACCTGTGCAAGACTGAAGGGGAGGAGCCGGTACACATGTGTAAGACTGGAGGGGAGGAGCAAGTACACCTATGCAAGACTGGAAGGGAGGAGCCGTACACCTGTGCAAGACTGAAGGGGAGGAGCCAGTACACCTGTGCAAGACTGGAGGGGAGGAGCCAGTACACCTGTGCAAGACTGAAGGGGAGGAGCCAGTACACCTGTGCAAGACTGAAGGGGAGGAGCCAGTACACCTGTGCAAGACTGAAGGGAAGACCGGGGGGGGGGGGGGGGGAATTCAGTCAGTCGGCTTTATTATAAAGTTAGAAATGGAGAAATCGTTTTTATTTGTATTTTTATTTGTATATCTCCCAGTTTGAGTTCTATATGAAAAGTCAAACCTATACCCTCCGCCTGCGGCTCGCTGACTCGGCTGTGATGCGATTTTCCCTGTGATGTCCATGTTGGGGGATGATTTTGTTCGATTTATAAAAGGTGGGAAGGAACCTTCCTCTATTGGATGGAGGATTTTGGGGGGCTTCTCCTGGGTGACCTCCATTCCTTCTCTAGTGATCACTATTTTATATTTTGCCACAGAAGTTTCTCGAGAAGTCACAATCTAGAGGAACATTTCCCGATCTCTGTGATGTATTTCAGGTGATTTCTGTGTTTTTCTGATTCTCTGAGTTTTTAAATTTCTGCAGAAACATTCTACAAAAAAAAGTTAATTAAAAGAATGAAGAGATTGCACTCAGTAATCAAATCATTAGAATGTTTGGGGAGAAGTTCGGAAGAGATAAGTAAAAGTTGATTATCGTAGAGAGCGTCGCTTTGAAGTGTTTACATCAATTCATTCCTCCAAATATGTATTTATCTCAGCAGGAGCCAATCAAGAGCCACCCGGAGCACCGCTGACTGGGCTTCCCCGGAGCGACACACATATACACCGTACTCTAGGCAACAAAAATGGCAACGGGACAAGTGCCCAGATAGGAAGTGCCGGCAAATCTCCCCAATCAGAGAAGATCACCTTCTCCATGATGGGTCCAACCAGAACTCCACATCCTGGAAACGAGGCAGAGACTGCAGGAAACCCCATCAGATTATCAGATAACACAATGAAATGACCTTTCTACTCCACACATTATTCATACACCACCATCATCAACAGGGGCGGACTGACAACTCATGGGGCCCCCGAGCAATAGGGGATCATGGGGCCCCTGTGTCCTTGCCCAAACTCAAAAAAGCCTATGAAAAAGGTACCAGGGGCATCTCACAGGCACCCCTACTGACCCGGGCCCTCAATAGGGGATCATGGGGCCCCTGTGTCCTTGCCCAAACTCAAAAAAGCCTATGAAAAAGGTACCAGGGGCATCTCATGACCCCCTACTGACCCGGTACCAGGGGCCCCTGTGTCTCATGGGCCCCCTATGAAAAAGGTACCAGACCACAGGGCCCGGGCCCTCAATAGGGGATCATGGGGCCCCTGTGTCCTTGCCCAAACTCAAAAAAGCCTATGAAAAAGGTACCAGGGGCATCTCACAGGCCCCCTATGACCCGGGCCCTCATAGGGGATCCCCCCAAACTCAAAAAAGCCTATGAAAAAGGTACCCCGGGCTCATGGGGCCCCCTACTGACCCCGGGCTCTCGGGCAGTGCCCGAGTTTCCAAATGGTCAGTCCGCCCCTGATCATCAACTACACATTCACAATACACAGTTCATATTGCCACAATTATGGTGCCATTGGGGTTAATTCCACTACTCAGCAGTGCAAAGCCTGTCCATGATGGATTGTACGAGACCCCATCTTCATCTCAGCAGTACAACCCTTGTCCATTAGGATGGAAAACCAACAATACCACCACTGAAAGACACCCGGCTAGATCTTTTCTTGGTGATTGGGTACATCGCGGGTTTTTACTCTGATTACATTTTTAGAGACGAATGAAAGGTTCTATCAATAGAGTGAAGTCATCAGACAAAGCCTGTCCATGATGGATTGTACGAGACCCCATCTTCATCTCAGCAGTACAACCCTTGTCCATTAGGATGGAAAACCAACAATACCACCACTGAAAGACACCCGGCTAGATCTTTTCTTGGTGATTGGGTACATAGCGGGTTTTTACTCTGATTACATTTTTTGAGGCAAGTGGAAGGTTCTATTAGTAGGATGAGGTCACCATCCTTGATAGGAAATAAATCTGTATGTCCCCCCAATGCTATCACATCATCAGGGGGGTCTGATGCTACATATACCTATTCATAATGGTTCCCACCATAACTGAGCATGCAGGAAAGAAGACGGAAAGTACGAGACCTGATCTTTATCTCTTGTCCATTGGAATGGCAGACCACCCCATGCTGCCACCACTGAAATCCTATCACATTGGCGCGGTGTCAGATGTATTTATTCATTATGGTTCCCACCATAACCGAGCATACTGGAAACAAGACGGAAGCTGCGAGACCTGAAAGACATCCATGTAGCTCTTTTCTTGGTGAATGGATACAATAAGGCTTTTCATTCTGAATACATTTTTTTTAGAGACAAATGGAAGGTTCTATCAATAGAATGAAGTCATCAGACAAAGCCTGTCCATGATGGATTGTACGAGACCCCATCTTCATCTCAGCAGTACAACCCTTGTCCATTAGGATGGAAAACCAACAATACCACCATTGAAAGACACCGGACTAGATCTTTTCTTGGTGATTGGGTACATCGCGGGTTTTTACTCTGATTACATTTTTAGAGACAAATGGAAGGTTCTATTAGTAGGATGAGGTCACCATCCTCCTGATAGGAAATAAATCTGTATGTCCCCCCAATGCTATCACATCATCAGGGGGGTCTGATGCTTCATATACTTATTCATAATGGTTCCCCCATAACTGAGCATGCTGGAAAGAAGACGGAAAGTACGAGACCTGATCTTTATCTCTTGTCCATTGGAATGGCAGACCACCCCATGCTGCCACCACTGAAACATGTCCCCGCCTAGCACATTTCTTGGTGATTGGGTACAAAGTGGGTTTTTATTCTGATGACATTTTTTAGACACATATAGAAGCTTCTATTAGTAGGATGAGGTCACCATCCTTGATAGGAAATAAATCTGCATGTCCCCCCCCCAATGCTATCACATCATCAGGGGGGTCTGATGCTTCATTCCCTTCTTCATATTGGTTCCCACCATACTGGAAACAAGACGGAAGGTACTAGACCTGAACTTTATCTCTTGTCCATTGGAATGGCAGAACCCCCCATGTGCTACCACCACTGAAAGACGTCCATCTAGCTCCTTTCTTGGTGATTGGGATACAATAAGGGTTTTTATTCTGATGACATTTTTTAGAGTCAAATGGGCAGTTCTATTAATAGGATGAGGTCACCATCCCCCAATCCTATCACATTGGCACGGTGTCTGATGTTCATTTATTCATAATGGTTCCCACCATAAATGAGCAAACTGGAAACAAGACGGAAGGTATAGAGAACTGAACTCTATCTCTTGTCCATTGGAATGGCAAACCCCCCATGTGCTACCACCACTGAAAGACGTCCATCTAGCTCCTTTCTTGGTGATTGGGTACAAAGTGGGTTTTCATTCTGAATACGTTTTTTAGACACAAATAGAAGGTTCTATTAGTAGGATGAGGTCACCATCCTTGATAGGAAATAAATCTGCATGTCCCCCCCAATGCTATCACATCATCAGGGGGGTCTGATGCTTCATGCCCTTCTTCATATTGGTTCCCACCATACTTGAAACAAGATGGAAGGTATGAGAACTGAACTCTATCTCTTGTCCATTGGAATGGCAGACCACCCCATGTGCTACCACCACTGAAACATGTCCGCCTAGCACATTTCTTGGTGATTGGGTACAAAGTGGGTTTTCATTCTGAATACGTTTTTTAGACACATATAGAAGGTTCTATTAGTAGGGTGAGGTCACCATCCTTGATAGGAAATAAATCTGCATGTCCCCCCCAATGCTATCACATCATCAGGGGGGTCTGATGCTTCATGCCCTTCTTCATATTGGTTCCCACCATACTGGAAACAAGATGGAAGGTACGAGACCTGAACTCTATCTCTTGTCCATTGGATTGGCAGAACCCCCCCCATGTGCTACCACCACTGAAAGACGTCCATCTAGCTCCTTTCTTGGTGATTGGATACAATAAGGGTTTTTATTCTGATGACATTTTTTTACAACTGCCTTTTCGGATTCCAGGAAATGTTACGCCGAGAAGCACAGAAACCCTCACGATGCATTTTTGGTGATCCTTTCCTATCCCACTGACTGTCCTACATCTGTTTCTTTTTGTTCTCAGGAGGAAATCCGATGTATGGAGACAACAAAGCCACAAGTCATCCTCCTAAACGCACAACAAGCTGTCGGGAAGCCATTATCGGTGTGTAGCATGTAAATGAATGAATGCCTAGTTGGCTCAACGTGGTCAGAGGAATGAGGTAATTATTACTACAAGGTTGGTAGGATCCCCGCGGGCGAGTACCCCGCAAGTCTCACCGAGAAGAAGAGCGCCACAGCCTGTGTCAGGGACAGGAAAGGCACTCGAATGGAAGTCCTGCCCTCGTTTGGAAAGCAGCGAAGGGGAAAATTAGCATTGTAAAACGGTAACCTCATTTAGATACGTTGTGTAAGAAGGCATCTAATTTGTATACAGAGTCATTATACGGTCACGGCCCAGCGGACAATCGCAGCCAATCACTTCAATAGAACCACATGGGAATATTCCTGGCGTCAATCTGCACATTCCTACAGGTGGCAAGCAGGCGGGAGGATTATCTGACAGAGCTCATTCCCCATTGATTCAACAAATCATTAGAAAAACATTTCATGGGTTGGGTACAGCAGGTAAAACACGTTTATTGGGATAGCATGCGCCCAGTGAAAGGATCGAACTGAACAACAGTACATTATACATAGTCACATAGTTAGTCTGGCTGAAAAAAGACAAAAGTCCGTCCAGTTCAACCATAAAAAAAAACAAGTTACGGTGAACAAATTAAGTATTTTCTCCCCTGCTGATGGTGAATGTTCACCCCTCACACAGAAATGATCGGTCTAACAATGGAATGTTCGCCCCTCACACAGAAATGATCGGTCTAACAATGGAATGTTCGCCCCTCACACAGAAATGATCGGTCTAACAATGGAATGTTCGCCCCTCACACAGAAATGATCGGTCTAACAATGGAATGTTCGCCCCTCACACA